GCTCTCTCTAATTCTCTCGTTCTCTCTTTCTCTCCGAGAACCTGAGCCCTAGGACCATACGTCAGGACTACCGGGCATGATGACACCTTGCTGTCCCCAGTCCGCCTGGCCTTGCTGCTATTCCAGTTTCAACTGTTCTGCCTGCGGCTACGAAACCCCTACCTGTCCCAGACCTGCTGTTTTCAACTCTTAATGATCGGCTATGAAAAGCCAACTGAGAGACCTGAGCCCTAGGACCATACGTCGGGACTACCGGCCGTGGTGACTCCTTGCTGTCCCCAGTCCGCCTGGCCTTGCTGCTATTCCAGTTTAAACTGTTCTGCCTGCGGTTATGGAACCCCTACCTGTCCCAGACCTGCTGTTTTCAAACTCTTAATGATCGGCTATGAAAAGCCAACTGAGATTTATTCCTGATTATTATTTGACCATGCTTGTCACTTATGAACATTTTTGAACATCTTGGCATGGTTCTGTTATAATCTCCACCCGGCACAGCCAGAAGAGGACTGGCCACCCCTCATAGCCTGGTTCCTCTCTAGGTTTCTTCCTAGGTTTTCGCCTTTCTAGGGAGTTTTTCCTAGCCACCGTGCTTCTACACCTGCATTACTAGCTGTTTGGGGTTTTAGGCTGGGTTTCTGTACAGCACTTCGAGATATTAGCTGATGTAAGAAGGGCTATATAAAATAAAATTGATTGATTGATTGAATTATGCGCCGCCTCATGGGTCTCCCAGTCACGGCTGGCTGTGACACAGCCTGGGATCGAATCCGGGTCTGTAGTGACGCCTCAAGTACTGCGATGCAGTTATTTAGCTTGCTATCCTCTCTCTCTTTCTCTCTCTCTCTCTCTCTCTCTCTCTCTCTCTCTCTCTCTCTCTCTCTCTCTCTCTCTCTCTCTCTCTCTCTCTCTCTCTCTCTCTCTCTCTCTCTCTCTCTCTCTCCCTCTCTCTCTCGTTCCCCTCTTGGGTTGACATAGACAGGTCACACCAGTATTATCAGTCTGATGAGCGGCAGTATCCTACATTAGCCTGCACTAATTCCTAGCCTATCCTAGCCTTGCACTAGCCTAGCGCTATCCGATGCCTAACTTACCCCTGCGCTAGGCCTGGTTGAATAACTAGCCTAGCCCTGGACCAATGGCTAGCCTCACCTATGCTAGCCCTGCACTATCTTTATACTAGCCTAACCCTACACTAACACGTCCTGCCCGGCTTAAGTGGTACAGGCGCAAGAGAATGTTCAGATTGTCCGCTCTTGTCCTCTGGTAACGCATCCATTTATCTTGCGTGTTTTGGTCATGGTTTTATCCTTTGTTGTCCTCTATTCCATGTATATCCTCTTAACCCCCCTCTCATGTTCTCCTGTCCTTGTTACGTCAACTGGTTCCCCCGCTCCCTCCATTTTGTCTGCCCCCCTCTGTCTCCCCACCTGTGCAGCCTACAGTGAGGGAAAAAAGTATTTGATCCCCTGCTGATTTTGTACGTTTGCCCACTGACAAAGAAATTATCAGTCTATAATTTTAATGGTAGGTTTATTTGAACAGTGAGAGACAGAATAACAACAAAAAAATCCAGAAAAACGCATGTCAAAAATGTTATAAATTGATTTGCATTTTAATGAGGGAAATAAGTATTTGACCCCCTCTCAATCAGAAAGATTTCTGGCACCCAGGTGTCTTTTATACAGGTAACGAGCTGAGATTAGGAGCACACTCTTAAAGGGAGCTTGTTACCTGTATAAAAGACACCTGTCCACAGAAGCAATCAATCAATCAGATTCCAAACTCTCCACCATGGCCAAGACCAAAGAGCTCTCCAAGGATGTCAGGGACAAGATTGTAGACCTACACAAGGCTGGAAAGGGCTTCAAGACCATCGCCAAGCAGCTTGGTGAGAAGGTGACAACAGTTGGTGCGATTATTCGCAAATGGAAGAAACACAAAATAACTGTCAATCTCCCTCGGCCTGGGGCTCCATGCAAGATCTCACCTCGTGGAGTTGCAATGATCATGAGAACGGTGAGGAATCAGCCCAGAACTACACGGGAGGATCTTGTCAATGATCTCAAGGCAGCTGGGACCATAGTCACCAAGAAAACAATTGGTAACACACTACGCCATGAAGGACTGAAATCCTGCAGCACCCACAAGGTCCCCCTGCTCAAGAAAGCACAAATACAATATACCTACCATTAAAATTATAGACTGATCATTTCTTTGTCAGTGGGAAAACATACAAAATCAGCAGGGGATCAAATACTTTTTTCCCTAACTACCGTTTTACTGTGTTAGGCTTTTTTGGGTGGTGTGTGTAGCCAAGTGTACTGTGTGCATGTGTGTGTATGAGAGAGATTAGTAGAGAGGGACATAAAGAGACAAACAATCCGAGAAGGAAAATGCTTCTCAGGCAAGGCTAGTATACCTTGATGGTAAATCTACTGTGTAATGTTTTCCATATACATGATTATGATGATGACTGTAGTATTGCTAACAACCATCACCAGATTCATCATCATCATCATCATCATTGTCATCACCATCCTCACCATCCTCATCATCACCATCATCATCATTGTCATCACCATCCTCACCATCCTCGTCATCACCATCATCATCATCATCGTCATCGTCACCATCCTCATCACCATCATCATCATCACCACCATCATCATCTCAGAATCAGAATCACGTTTATCGTCCAACAAGAGGAAAATCTTGCCTCCACCATCATCACCACCACCAACACCATCAAATGAAAACTCTCTAATCTGCTCAGTACCTGTGCTGTGTGTACGGTCCTCATCCAATGAGAGAGCGCTGTGTGCAGGTCCCACTGGTTCCTCCTAGTTCCATGCGATGGGGGGCGGCGGGTGGAGATGTTTGAGAAATACAGCTCTCCGTACGTGTGTGTGCGCGTGTTTGTGTGTGTTTGTGTGTGTATGCATGTTATAGAGGGGGAGAGCACTGCAGCAATCTGGAAAAAGTAGGTCAGACAGTGTAGAGAAACATGGCAGAGGAGTAAAGAGGGAGAGAAAAGGAAGAGAAGAGGATGGAGAGAAATGGGGGATAAACACAAGTACTATTGTTGCTTGGGTCCCATCCTGAATGAATTGGTGTGTTCAATGTTACCCATCCCAGACTGCTCTTTCACAGGCTGTGTAAGGTTCAAGAACACCAGGAAGCCTTGCATTTCAGATCCCCACTCAGGACATAGAAACAATATACACATTTCTCTCCATCCATATGGTCTGCCTATATGGTAATCTGTTACTACTGCTGTGCCAATCAAACGCAGCGATACTGGCATATCCTTTATGTTTTATGGCTTTCCAAGAAGTTCACTCGCTACTGTGAGATGCTACTGCCTTTCAGCTAATCTCTAATATACAGAACATTACTTGAGTTCCTTTTCTTCAGATTTTCTCTATGTACACTGTACAGTAATGTATCTTCTGATTCTATATGTGGATTGATTTGAGTTCAGTGAAAAAAAGGTGTAGCCCTTTCTTGCAGTCAAATGACCTAGTGGCCTCATGGGTGGAATGTTATTAATATTTTTCATAATTTCATAATTTAAATTCTGCAGAAAATTCAATGTTTCTATGTCCAACTGTTTTGTTATATTTCAGTCTTCTGTGATGCATATAAAGGGTAATACTGGAATGCAAACTCAAAATTCTATACATTTCAACTCTATATCTGACATGGTACAGGTGTCTTCTTTTTTGTAAGCCCATAGCCATGTGTGTGAGGTGTATACTTTTGTTTCAAAGTAGATTTGTTTAAGACTACCAAGAATCACTCTGTGTGACCCTGATTTAGCCCACTGCAGTAAAAGGTTTTCACAGAGAAAGAGAAGGAGTGAGGGCTCTTGCAATAGGTGTTGAGAAGTAAGAGAGTAATAATGAAAAATTGACCCAATGAGAAAGAAAATACATGGCCCTTCACCTCCATTTTTCCGTTTCATGAGCTTTCTATATATGCTGTTCTAAATATATATATTAAAAATGTGAACATCAGAGAAAATACACATAGGAGACACGCATAGTACAGTATTTGCAGATTTGCACTCAGGCATTTGATGTAAGGTAGATGGGCTCCACTCAAGTATGAATTTATCCCTTTTTATTCTTCCTCCGGCCATATCTGTGTTTTATTATTTATTTGATAATGCACAAAGTATATATACTGGGTCTATAAATAAACAGCAGGCCATGTAACTGTAAGAATGTCATTGGAAAAGATGACGCTACTGGCCATGCACAACCATAGTATTATCTGTCCAGTGTAATTGACTCAGGAACATTTGAATGGTCCAGTGTAATTGACTCAGGAACATTTGAATGGTCCAGTGTAATTGACTCAGGAACATTTGAATGGTCCAGTGTAATTGACTCAGGAACATTTGAATGGTCCAGTGTAATTGACTCAGGAACATTTGAATGGTCCAGTGTAATTGACTCAGGAACATTTGAATGGTCCAGTGTAATGAGCTTCACTTGTATAGCACAGTCAGTCAGACAAACAGGACACGTACAGACTACACAGACAGCATACAGTGCATTCGGAAAGTATTCAGAACCCTTTACTTTTTCCACATTTTGTTACGTTACAGCCTTGATCTTAAATGGATTAAATCGTTTTTTCCCCTCATCAATCTACATACAATACCCCATAATGACAAAGCAAAAACTGGGTTTTAGACATTTTTGCTAATTTATATTTTTTTTAAACCCTGAAATATCACATTTGAATACTTTTAGTGAGAAAAAGGGAGCACGGTTAAGGAAATAAAGCGACTCCCTTTTTCAAAACTGAGTCACCATCTCTTTACAAGAAGCAGTCTGGGCAGACTGCATGTCTCAGCGCCCGGACGCTCTTATAACTTTGCCAATTTTTTTGTTTGTTTTTGCTCTCTGTCCAAGAAATTCACCCGTAGGACAGAGAAAGTTTTGGGAAAAAATGAGCTAGGCTGTAGTATATGGACATAGTTCTGTTTGTAGATGGAGGTATTCTCCAGAATCCAAGAGAAAGGGAAGCAGTGTCCAAACAGTACTAATGACACTCAGTGCTTTTTAGTGTATCCCATTGCTTTCTTGGCAGTGGTGTGTAGGATGTCATTTTGTCAAAATGGTCCAGAGAATCCATCTTATTTAGGCTTGCGGCTAATGTTTAACTTCCATCCCCAAGCTGAAAGACAGTATTTGAACACCATTTAACAGATGCTTTTATCCAAAGTGAATAAAATGACATTGCCTGCATACATTTTTTTGCGTTGCTAACTCCACACTCTTACCAACTGAGCCACACAGGACCACTAGGACCACTCTAACCAGATATGGTTACATGACTATGGTTATTGACTGAATGTTGTTGTTTAGTTATAGGGCAACCCATAATACATTTGTGCAATTAGTTCACTCTATTAATAGAGTTTGAAGCTAAGCCTGGCAGTTTGGATATCTCAAATGAACCCTTCGAGAGGATAATATTCAGCTTAATGTCTTGTTGGACTTTGATTGACATGAAGTCTCTGGCTGATTGTACTCCTGTTGTGCTGTCTGAATTGATCAATTGTTAATACACAAGCACCAGGTTTTAGCACCCATGCCGTGCATTATACTTGATATTTACTCAGGTACCATTCTCACAATGCTTTATACCAGCGTTTACAAAACTTGGGACCCCAAGGGGTGCAAGTTTTGGTTTTTGCCCTAGCACTACACAGCTGATTCAAATGATCAGTTTAGTTGATTATTAGCTGTGTAGCGCTAGGGCAAAAAACAAAACGTGCACCCCTTGGGGTCCTGAGGACCGAGTTTGGGAAACCCTGTTTATACAGTAGCACAATCATAGTGGTAGTGGTAGTATAAGGAATACAGTATGGTGTTAGGTTCTGAACAAACAGAGTAAAAACTCAAAACGGACAACTAGAAAAAGCTCAAACCAAGTTTATTCAAGCCACTGGATACTTTAGCTGCAAACACACTTTGCACATGATCAAACAGGCATTTAACTGTCATGACAAGGTTAGACGTATGACTTCTCAGAACTGTCCATCTGTTTCCTAAAACTGCCTAAATGTTGCACTGTTGTCTTTACGGTCGAGCGGTCTGGAAGCAGTTCCTCTTCATTCGGTCACTTCTCCATGATGGTTACAAGTGACCATATGTTCACCTTACTCAATAGACTTTGGACTGTCCCTTTTCTCTGATAGTAAAATTCCATACACGAAGTTCATCTTCACCATTAATTGACACATAACATATACTGTACATTCATTATGCATATAACAAAATCAATAAGGTCCAATATAGTAACAGGAGTAAGTATATTTCAAGGTAGAACCCAACAATATCAAGTGTGTTAATTGGAGGATGATAATGTTTTAGCAATGTTGTTTCTTGCAAGTAACTCTGCATTCACAGACTTTTTGAAAAGTAGGGGGTTAATAACATGACTTAATGGGGAGTATTGGCTCCCCATTACGGTTAACTTGCACTGGAGTGTAATGGATTATGTTGGTGATAAAATAGAGTGCCATCTCAAGCACTTTGGGCTTTAGGGATTTCCACTGTATGATTAATATAGTAGTTGTAAGGGTCCAAATGTTGGTCAATACATAATGTACAATAGGGCTGTCAGTCCTTTTACTTTGTGTATAATACTTTGACTAATGTGCGAATTGTTATTTCCCCAACATTACATCTTTTCAAATAATCAGACTGGCTAGTTATTGGAGCATAAGTTGGGATCACATTTCATCATGCTGGGCCACAAACAGGCTCAGTGCCACATGTTTCAGACCCTTTATGTTGAACATTCAGTATGAGGGGGTGAGCACATGTCCCATCCTGATTTTGAAACCTATTCAGTGCACTCTGAGATACATGGATATTTATAATTCATCAGCTTTTACCGTTTACGACTCTCTCTTTCTCCATCACTTTATTTTCTTGCCCTTTTCTCTGTGTCCGCGCTGCGCCAATGAGACAGTAGTAGTCTGTATTCTCATTCCAGCCAGGTCCCCTCCCCCTTTCCTACATTCTGCAGGTTTATGACATGTGGCTCCCGGTTTTCTATTTTTTTCCACCACTTCTCCTTGGGCTGTCATGCCGATGACCATTGCAGCCTTTTTTTCTAAGTGTCAGATAGAGTATCCCTCAGTGCTTGGTCCAGTTTGACCCTGCAGTCACCCTCAAGGTCAACAATTATCCCATTTAAGTGTCTAGTCAGGTTTAATAATCTGGGCTCATGATCTCATCTGACTGAGTAATGCCATGCAGTGTCCTGTAGGGGCTGACTAACTGTTGAGCAACACACCATCTGTTTAGCTAGCTATGTTGTTTGTATATGGCTTTAACCCTTCTCTCCTTCCTCTCTCTTTTCTCACTCTATCTTCATTTTTTTCCCTTTGCCTTCTGTCTTCCTGCCTTTCCCCTGCTCTCTCTGTCCCTCCTCTCTCTGGTTCGTTCTGTTCTTCTCCTCCAGTACTGCGCGTTCCTCTCCCTCCTGTTCATCCTCATCTCCATCTCCACCTTCTGCATGGAGACGCACGAGGCCTTCAACACCATCTACAACAAGACGGAGAACGTGACGGAGGGAAACGTGACACGCGAGGTAATCGTCTACGAGGTGGTGACCGACAGCTGGCTTACGTACGTGGAGGGCATGTGCGTCATTTGGTTCACCATTGAGGTGATGGCACGCGTGGTCTTCTGCCCGGACAAGGTCGAGTTCTTCAGGAGCACCCTCAACATCATCGACTTCATTGCCATCATGCCTTTCTACCTGGAGGTGGGGCTGAGCGGCCTGTCCTCCAAAGCCGCCAAGGACGTGTTGGGCTTCCTGCGCGTAGTCCGCTTCGTCCGCATCCTGCGTATCTTCAAGCTGACCCGCCACTTTGTGGGGCTTCGCGTCCTGGGCCACACGCTCCGCGCCAGCACCAACGAGTTCCTCCTGCTCATCATCTTCCTCGCTCTCGGAGTGCTCATCTTCGCCACCATGATCTACTACGCCGAGCGCATCGGCGCCGACCCTGACGACCCTACGGCCGCCAAACACACAAACTTCAAGAACATCCCCATCGGCTTCTGGTGGGCCGTGGTCACCATGACCACTCTGGGCTACGGGGACATGTACCCTGAGACGTGGTCGGGGATGCTGGTGGGCGCGCTGTGTGCCCTGGCAGGGGTACTGACCATCGCCATGCCTGTTCCCGTCATCGTCAACAACTTTGGCATGTACTACTCACTGGCCATGGCTAAGCAGAAGCTGCCCAAAAAGAAGGGCAAGCACATCCCCCGGCCCACCATGCCAGGCTCGCCCAACTACTGCAAGCCTGACGCCCTCGCCATGGCCACCGCCTCGCCCCATAGGATCCTGGGTAATGTACTCGGCGAGGTGATCGGGTCCGGAGGCTTCGACTGCCCCCTTGCACAAGAGGAGATCATAGAAATCAACCGAGGTGAGACATTTCTATTTTCATTCTTCAGGACCATATTTTAAGAGACAGACTGCAAGTTAACAAACTGTCTTCGACCTTGACTTGTAAGATCTGCACGAGTTCATCAACATGGAGCTTTGCTGAGCATCTGGGCATTCCACCACTAGCCTCCCCAAGGGCGTAGAACACAAATTACTCCGTCAAAAATTGTATTTTTGGCAAAGAGGTTGTCAAACTGTACAGTTTAGCATTGACAGATATCCAATCAAATTTAGAACAGGGATTTGCACAGTAAGTGGAGGATTCTGGGCTGTATAAGACTTAGGAATCAGAATGTTATCTGACAGCTAGTTACAGGGACTCAGTAATCTCAGTAATAGTACAGTCCTGCAGATCCATGGGGTGTGAGTGGGGGTTTAGAGTGCCTCTGTCCCTGATAGGGATAGTTTGGGGGGGGGAAGGGGGAGAGGGGGGGTGCTGATTCTGAATCTGCCCTTGAGAGATAGCTAGCCCATCAGAACTTATAGGTAATTTATGATCAACTGGGGAGTCCACATTTGCCGAGAGGCCTCCATCTGCCTGTGTAGAACAAACACAGTACATAAAAAATTTACTGATTTGGATCTGTTCGCAACAGACCAATATGCTTACGTTTGGTTCAATGGTTTAGATTACACTACAAATGTCCGACCATTTTTTTTTCCTTTACTGAAGTGTAGTACTTAGTATGTAATGCTTACAGTACTTCCTTTTTCATGAACCCAATGTCCACACATGACAATAGATCACGTGTGTTTTGTAGCCCTTGAGAAATCATCAGTGTGTCAGCAATAATAATAATATAATAATAATAATATATAATATAATAATATAATAATAATAGTAATTATAATAATTATGTTTTATTGCATAAGCGCCTATAGTACCCTACCACTCTCTTACAGTCTTTCACGCTCTCTTTTGTTGAGAATTTTGCTGTAGGTTGTTAGTAAGTTGTTGAGCAGGAACTCATCTGAGATCAGATTTGACAGCTGTGTCTGAGACAGTTGAGGCTGCTGAGGGAGGACGGCTCATAATAATGGCTGGAAAGGAGCGAATGGAATGGCATCAAACACATGGAAATCACTCATTCCGCTCCAGCCATTACCAAGAGCCTGTCCTTCCCAGTTAAGGTGCCACCAACCTCCTGTGGTCTGAGGATATAAGCCTCAGTCACACTGCGGCATCAACTCACACCCGCAACCCCACCTCATCTATTACTATGACCAGTTTTTAGTTGACCATGCTGTCTAGCTAAGCCTGTATAGACATGACCTTTGACACCTTTGCCATGATCAATTACATATCATAGTCAAATCAAATCAAATGTTATTTGTCACATGCTTCGTAAACAACAGGTGTAGGCTAACAGTGAAATGCTTACTTACGGGCCCTTCCCAACAATGCAGAGAGAAAAAAATAGAAATAATAACACAAGGAATAAATACACAATACATCATTTTACTGAATCTGTCTCTGCTTATGTATCTCATCTGCAGTATTACATTGTGATCAGTAGCTTGCAGTAACACCTCCCCCCCATTCCTTTGGCTATTTTCTTACATTCTTTTTTCCAGTGATGGGAGACTGGGGATTCATGATTTCTGTATCGTCGGGCCAAGGTGCCATGCCAAAACCTTCGATATAGCAGCCGATCAAAGTCCCTCAGCTCGCAACAGCAAGCTCTCTGATTGGGCCGATTGAATCACCAAGTATGCAACTCCTCCCCTCGGACTATGTTCCAATGTCCGTACTAACATATTATGTCGAATAAAGCAATGTAATGGACATGCATCCTAAGTGGTATGCTAGTGTGGATATGGAATCAGTCTCCCATCACAACCTTCCTCCTCCACTATCCAGATACATCACTTTTATCCTACTCTCCTCTTCCTTCCGTCTCCTTTACTCTGCTTCCCGCCCCCTTTCCCCATCTCTCCTTCTTTTCCGAAAGATTCCAAGCAGAACGGTGACGCGGCCACTGCGGCCCTGGCGAACGAGGACTGCCCTACCATCGACCAGGTGCTGAGCCCGGACGAGCGGAGCCCCGCGGGGCGAGGGGGCACCGGAGTAACCCGGGAACGCTACCAGCAGGACCGCGCTTGCTTCCTGCTCAACACCAGGGAATTCCGCGCCACAGATGGGAATGTGCGGAAAGGTACGTCACTCCCACAGGGGACAGAACCGTAACCACATATACCACATACGTCAACAGAGCTACACACAAGATGCCATAAGGCACAAGCACTGATACAGATAAAGATTATCTGCATATAGAAGATGCCAATAGGGCAGGTGCACAGGGGACAAATATGTACACAAATGATGTATACATGATCAAATACAGCACATATGGGAACTGATTTGTGGGTAGTTACAGAGAACAAGCAGACAGACACAAGCAATGGCCAAGAGCATCATGGGAAGAGCCATGTTTGTGTGACAGGGAGGTTCCAAACACTAGGTTCTGACAGGACACAACAACACCCACCTACAAGATCTTTACTCTTCTGCTTTTCTCTGCTCTGGCCTGTATTTTTCCACCTCTTCACCTTTGTGCACTTCCATCACACTTGGTCTCACCTTTTCTTTCTTCCTGTCTGTATTTTCTGTCCCTCTCTCTTTCTTTCACTGCCTCAAAGTTTCATCCTCCATTTTGTCCTTTGTATTTATTTCTGTCTCCTCATCATCTCTCACGCTCATCCTCTCTCTTTCTCTGTCTCTTGTACTCAAGATAGTTGACCATGCATTAATTTACCTCTTGTCACTTCTGTTTCTTTCTCTCTCTCCCTCTCTCTATCTCTCTCTCTCCTGGCTCCCCTCCTCCCCCTTGTTTGGCTGACTCCCACTTGATGCCCTGTCCCCCCACCCCCTTTCCTTATCCCCCATCTTCTCTCTCTCTCTCTCTCTCTCTCTCTCTCTCTCTCTCTCTCTCTCTCTCTCTCTCTCTCTCTCTCTCTCTCTCTCTCTCTCTCTCTCTCTCTCTCTCTCTCTCTCTCTCTCTCTCTCTCCTGGCTCCCCTCCTTCCCCTTGTGTGGCTGACTCCCACTTCATGCCCTGTCCACCCACCCCCTTTCCTTGTCCCCCATCTTTGATTCCATATCCCCATTCTTTTCCCTCCTCCTTTCCTTTCCTCTTCGAAACGCACCTTATTTACCCCTGCTTACCCCATGTACACTCTTGTGCTGATTCTGAAACGCAATACCTCGATCCATTTCTTTACGGCTGCAACAAACCTTTTTTACCACCTACAACAACCACCACCAAACCTGCACCAAACACTTCTCCTTTACACTCCTCCCAAACTCTCGACGCCACTGTTGACACTAAACTAGAGGCAGCAGGCCTGGCAGCCAGCCCAGACTCCCCTTTGGCTGAGGAATGGTATAAGCTGGAAGGGTCTCTGCTACAGCAGGACCTCAATGCAAACTCCACCTCTTCCTGGATCAAACCATAGGCCAAGAGGTAACACCTTAAAATCATGGTGACCCAAAATGGTACCCCGTTAGCGGTACCATATTTTTTTTTTAACCTATTCCGTCAGCCAAACATTTTAGGTTCTCTCATGTACATGACATTGCATGTTGGCAGTTGACACTCAAACATACCACCCAAAGACACACTTGGACACAGAACACACTCACACTCTCACATACAGTACACTATGCATGACTGCAAATCACAACTAGTACTAACTGTGTTCACTTTGTTGGGTCTGTACAGAATGTTTGGTAAAGTTTAAGTATCCCCCATGAATTGCCCTCTGTGTGAATGGAGGTAAGTTCAAATAGTGAAATCAACCCTTACAGAAAAACCACATGATTTCAAATGTGTAGTTTTATGTTATCACATGTTTCTTCACATATTGTCACGTTATCACATTAACTTCACATAAGACCACATGTGATCACATGAAAATTCATGTGTTCTTTCCGTAAGGGAATAGATAGGTAGGGAACAACAACACCAAGCTATTGAGCTAAGGTTGGGTAAAACTGTGATTTATATATCAAGGCCCAATTGCATTGTATTGCTCAGAGTATCATCCAATCAGAATAATCTATTATTCAGAATAACCTGATCTTTCTTTTTTCATTGTTAACCTAACCTCAGCCCAATGCACCACAATTCCATCCCATGAATTATAAACTCAATGACATTCTTAGAAGAACTGGTCATATACATACACCAAACATTTGCCCATAAATGTACAAAGAGTAACAAAAGTCATATCATGAAATAAGAGGATCGTATATGTAGGATGTATAGTGTAAGATACTGTGTGTGTACCAGGCTGTGTATTTGAGAGACTGTGTGGTCTGTGCGATTTGTGTGTGTACGTGTGTGGCGACGTGTGCCGCGTGCGGCAGCTGCACTGAAGTAGCCCTGTAACACTTAACAGGAACAACGGGTCACGTGTTGTCTGATGTGCTCTGTGTTGCTGTCTCTCTCTTCAGGTTGTGTCATATCACGCGTTTGTATGTGGGCTTATTCATTCTTACACGTTACACTGTATATCTGTCCTACTCTCAATGCCGTCCGAGTGTTGTGTTTGTGTTTGTGTTGTTGTCGTGTGTGGCTTTTACTGTGTTCTTTTTTGTGTCACTGGTGCCCTCTCTACCTCACTGACATTCACCCTGACAGATAACAAAAGACACATCGCTCTTTGAAGAAATCACCCTTTGCACCGGTGCGAAATTTCCAGAGTCTCACAGATTTCTTTCATGATATGATATGTACATATTCTAGCTATATTTAGAGCTTACATAATGGATCATTTTGAATGCGATGTTGTACAGTGGCCATCTTTCAAGGGTCAATGGTCAGTGGTGTCAGCGGAGCCTCCGAGGTCACGGGAATAGTACCTTACGATACATGCCTTGCTGGGAACAACATTTTCAGCCATATCATCATATGGCTCTCCTCAACATTGTACGGTCCTCACATTGATAGTCAAATGCGACTAACTAACATCAACGCAATGCTGATTGACAAAATGTTTTGTTATAAGTGTGTCGTGTTTCGAAAACACTATTCCCTAGACTTCAAAATGTGTGCTTTCAGTGCCTAGTGTAGTTAAAAAGGTCAGATGGGACTTCTTGTCTGTACTGTAGTGACCCGAGTACACTCTGTCCCCATAGGAGAACCCTTTGAAGAACCCTTTTTGGTTCCAGGTAGAACCCTTTCCACAGATGGTTCTACCTGGAACCCAAAAGGGTTCTCCTATGGGGACAGCCGAATAACCCTTTTGGAACCCTTTTTCTAAGAGTGTAGTTAGCTGCACTTGGTGACTGAAACACTGAAATACTGACTCACTGACTGACTCTGACATCACACTGCCAGACAGACACTATGACAGACTGATTGACTTACAAGTGGCTACGTGCTATCTAAGGTAAGCGAGCCTTGAGCTGTTGAACTCTTCTCTTGGAAGCCCCTGACTGCTTTGGTGTTGTGTGTTTTCAACAGTTCATTTTGTGTATAAAACTTAAACTTAACGCTGCAAATCCCTCTTTAAAACCAAAAAGGAGGCCATTTTAAGCAGGAAGCCAGAAGCACTAGAGGGTGTTAGGATGACATTCAATGTTTACTGAATGAATCCTCCTCTCATTATCACGGTACAAGCGTTTGGTGGGGGGAAAGCTATAACACTTTAACTCCCAGAACACTTTACGATATTTGTGCCAATTCTATATGCCAACCTTCAGCTCTCAGCATTGCTGAAAATATTGGTATCTGTAGGGGGATTCGAGGATCACAGAAACTTGACCTCCCTCTGTAACCTGAAACATGTAACATTTGATAGTAATGGAATATCATTGCATCCGAGTGAAGCTGAACAAAAATATAATGCCTCCGAGCAGCATTGCCATTCAATCTCATATTGACCAAAAATCTAATTGAATGCCAAACGGATAGGAATGAGGTAAAGAAACCCAAAGGGGACACTGTAAAATAACTGGAGGTTTGATGGCCATAATTGCCCCAGCTGAAAATAATAATGGCTTAACGATGTGTTCCCTTTTTGGTTTGAAAGTGGGATTCCCTATTGTGCTCTCATACTGGTATTGTGTGCTTTTTACACGGTTTCTTTCTTAGATCTTTGTATATGCAGTCCTTTCTTAAGTTATTTTAGTAGTATTTTAAGTCTCTCTATATGATACTTGTCCATTTGACCTCCTCCGCCCAAAATGCAATATGCATGGTTCAATAAGGTCAAAGGGTCAATTACCTCTTTGATTGCTCACTCGCAATCGTTCCCTTTCCTCCCCCCTTCCCTCATCAAGTCCTCAGAAAGGGTAGGAGGTTAGTTGCTGAGTGATGGGGGCTTATTTGCTTTCTGGCGTGGCTGTATGTGATGCGTGGGATTTTCTTTGGCTGTCGTGAGTCGTATGGATTATTTCTTATCTTAGTCTTCTTTCTTTCTTCTTTCTTTCTTTCTTTCGTTCTTTCTTCTTCTTCTTTCTTCTTTCTTGTCTTTTCTTTCTTCTTTCTTCTTTCTTCTTCTTTCTTTCTTCTTTCTTTCTTCTTTCCCTTACTCCTCTCTCTCATGTGTATTTGTGCTATGGCAGGTCAGAAATCTGTCTTGAGTACTACTTACTAAAACGTCACACTTTGTACTAATCGTACTACATACTATTTAGACATACTGTTAAGTAAAAACGTATGCAGTAAGCAACAGCTATCAACATATTAGGCTCATCCATACTGAGAAGGAGTCATCTAATATGCAACCACGCTTGTTCCCCACCATGCGTTCATTTTGGTGCAGCACATCCCCTTATCGAATTATCAGCTGTTGTCAAACGTGGTCTGAAAAGACGGTTCTCTTCCACTATAGTGTGCATTGAATGCTACTAGAATCTAGTAACTAGATGAAAAGCTGAAATGAGTGGTACATCTTGGCATTTAGGGCATACTAAATTTTTTTGATTTCACATACTATAAAACTTTCTATTTTCGCATACCCAAATAGCCTAATAATTAGAACTCATGTACGGGTATTCGGACATGGCCTATATGTGTGTGGATTAATTTCTGTCTTGTGTGTATATATGTGTGTATTGTTTTGTGTCTCTCTGAGATTTCTGTTAATTTATGTATTTATTTCTCTAGATTCTATTAGTTGATTTTGGTGTGTTTAATGTCTGTCAAGGACCATTGTCAATTAGAGTTCATTTTAGTGTGTT